AATTCACTCACAGAGCGTTGAGAAAGATTTTTAGTCGAGAAGGAATCCTAGATATCTTAGTTACTGACAATGGTACTCATTTTACGGAGAAGAACTTCAATGACTGGCTCAAACATGTAGGTTGTCGTCATTTGTACACAGCACCACGTCATCCTCAGTCAAACGGGTTGGCAGAAAATTTTGTACGAACATTAAAGAGTGCTATAGCATCAATGAGTCCTCAAAATCTTGATGAGCTAGAGAGATGTGTGGATAACTTCTTACTTCAATATCGCAATGCGGAGCATACAAGTACTCATGAAAGTCCTGCAAAACTATTCAAATCTCGAATTCTCAGAAAACATCTGATGTCCACGACTTCTGATGTACATTATTACAGAGGGAATGTTTATAGATCTTCTCTTGGTATCATACCACAAAGAATGGGAAATCGAATGGTGAGGATATTAGGCATCGAAGATAATTCAGTTCATAACAGACACTTGGATCAAGTGAGAATAAATGAGGTAGGTCGTTCCGATTATGATTATAATGACTCCACTACTAATCCTGATTTTGTAGATAATTCAGAAATAAGTCTAAATGATACTGATGAAAATAATATCACAGAATCAGTTAGAAGATCGCAGAGGCTGGCAAGCACAGTATCCTCATTGCCTCTCTATATCTTTCGTTCGCGGACAAACTTGCGGCACTGTATGGCCCTTGCAGCAACACCAGTGCAATACCTCAACAAATACATTAACTTCATTTCGGCATTTTAAATAAAGCCACTCAGCATGACCTCAAACTCCTTGATAAACTGTGAATAGTCGGCTGGGTTTCCCGAGGCTCGAGAGTCTTAAAGCACTACGATACCTAAACAGCGAAGCATGAACATCAGACTCATCATGCTGAGCATCATGCATATCATTACAGTCAACAGGCAACTCGTCGTTACTTACATTTTTGTCTGCTTCCATGGTGCCACGTCCCTTCCTTGATCCAGACATTATCCAACGTTACAAAAGGGTCCAAATAGCTTTTTACGAGGTCTAAATAGCGTTGATAATCCGTGTCCAAAGTGATACTGGCTGCAAATCCACTAAGTACACCCGGATGAGTTCCAAAAAGCGCTTCAGAATACGAACGGAGGAATAAAAACTGCCCCAAAAGGCTCTCCAGAAAAAGAATAATAACTGTCAAGGAACTTATCCATAAGTTTCTATTGTTACGAAGACGCTCCGCACCGATAAATACTATGTACTTTCTTCGACCTTAACTCCAAAACACCAGAAGGAAGTTATATTGTTTGGCAATTAAAGCGGAGAACAGTAAGTCTATAAATAAATGTTTAATACAAAATTATGAAGTACTTTTATTCGTTTCTGGTCGTCCTCGTCGAACTTGTACACGATCGAACTATTCACGCCTTCGAGTTGCCCACAAGTGGCTGCCAGTTCCAAAAACAAACGTTCGGTGTTCACCTTTATTGACAGATTCTTATAAGTGTTGAATTGTAAGCCCTTCACTAAGGTAACCATCAAGGTTGAGTAACAGCCAAAACTTCCTTCAGTTTTCTGCTGATAGTTATTGTCTTCCAGTGAACAGTGTATATTTGTGTAAGTGCTATTCCGCCACTTGATTAACCGCTCCCAAGGAATAAAAACGACAACAGCATGGTTCCAACGGAATTGGCCAAGTAGTTCTGTCATTAACACTTCAGCCAGAGGCCTACACAGAGTCGAACATCTCTCGACAGTTTGAGGTGATGAGAGCAACTGTCAGTTGCCTATGTAGCAATAAAGGTGACTGGGAGAGGAAAACTCTGAACTCAGAAACCTCCAATCACAACTGCGCCTCAGAATAATAATCATGACAGAAACCTGAATAACCCTTACTATTATCAACAATGAGATCAGGGTAAATTGTACGGCTGTGGCCGGATGAAACAGGGATGACAAGAAAGGGGGTGGAGTTGCGATACACCTTGGCAAGCAACTTAAACGCATAAGTGCCACGAACCCACAACTTGGTGAACTCACAGACTCCCTATGGTGTCATTTCACCATAGGCCACATGAGGGATTTATTGAGTGGCGCCTGCTGACCACCCTCCTGCGGAGCAGGACACAACCAGCTAACGCCTAACGCCGTCACAGGAATACGGGACCCGGGCCATGACAAGATCATCACATCTGAGAACTTCATTACCACGTCCCCTGAACCTGGTTATGGGTATGGTCAAGGAAAATTCGGTCAAAACCTGCTACACATCATTATAAATGAAAGACTAACTGAGAACTTTGGAGGTGGCACTAGGTGTGGTCCTAGTGGAAAGTCATGAAATCTGGATCATATCCCAACCAGTGACCAGTTACTAGTCGAAGGGGTTCGAGTCACGAACATTTTGGGTATCACTGTCCACACGGTCACCGTTTTTGATCTGGTTTTTTTCGAACGCTTACAGAGGGGTGCCACTCGGCCACGTCTGCTTTATGGCAAAGCCGACTGCATAGAAATGCGAAGACGTTTGTCTCATTCAGAATAATCTCTAGATTGGGCTGAGCTGTCAGTAGAGTAACACTGGGAAGTGGCAAAGAGGATCATTCACAAAGAGATCCCAGATAACGGCCTTCTGGTGACATGGAGACCTAAGGAATGATCCCCATGGCTGGAGAGAGGCACTTAGTGTGTTCTGTAACCAGACTGAAAAACTTAGCTTGCATGGTGGCTTTCTAAGAGTTACACTGACCATGAGGCCTACCTAGAGCACAGAGGCCGATGCAACATAAGAGCTAGGTATGACAAGTGGCCACTCCATGCAAATCATGCACTTAAACTCCTGACAGACTCCAAAAGCATGTACCGATTCATGTCGGAGAGAAAACCACACAACAAGGGGGCATGCACCTCAGGAGGCGTCATTGGTCAATATCTCACTAGTTTGGAAATGGCTAAAACATTCAGTTCAGCCTTTGTCAAACAGTTAAACAGCAATATGGGTGTTTCAGGCATAGGCCGAAAAGGCGGTACTGCTATTTTACCGAAACAAAATCTAGCGACTTCGCCCCAAATAAAACTGGTGGTGGTGCCAGGGAAGTTACAGAGACTAACATCTGGAAAGCCCCCAATGAGTCACGACAAAAAGCCGAAATTTCTAAAATGGCACGCGGGAGCTCTGCGTAGGCCCCTATCTTACCTGTTCTAACACTCAGTGGATTCAGGGAAACTGCCAAGGGAGTGGAAGAGAGCCCTCCTCCCCCTATTTTCAAGGATGGGGGTGGGCAAAATGCCACCAGTTATGGACCAGTGGCCCTACCCCCAGTGGTATCAAAAGTGCTGGAAATTACAATTGATGATCACTTCAGGGAACAGCCTGACAGGACCAACAGACCCTATGAAGCAAAACGTGGTCTCAGAAAAAGCAGATCCTGTGCAAAAAACCTATTGTCAGCTTGGAAGTACTGGGCGTCATGCTGCGACATGGATGTTCCAGTCCGTGTGATGTTCCTAGACTTTGAGGAGGTACTTGACCCAGTTCATCGTGACCTTCTCCTACACAAAATAAGTCAGGCGGGTAGAGGTGGACCACTTCTGCCCAGGTTGAGGGACTACCTAGGTGAAAGGAAATTCTGCTCTGAGGTCAGTCATGTCCGATCATCCCAGCACAGCTCGTTATCATAAGTATAGCAGTTTCTAGCCTAGGGTCATTGATGTTATTGATTTGAATCAGTGACCTAACTTACCATCCAAGCTGCCTGACCCCTCTTTACGCTGACGACTTAAAGGTCTGGAAAGCAGTAAAGTGCTCGAAAGACTCACATGGCAGGCAGATCTAAATCTTCTGGAAGGCCGGGAGATGGTAAGTGGTGTGACTTTCAACCTGAAAATTTGCAAAGTATAGCTTTTAGCCACGTGTAGCATGCAGAATGCAAGTTACACCCTTCGCAAAGAGAGCCTGTCCTACGCATAATCGGGCGGTGACTTAGGTCTAGTTCTTGCGGAAAAATTGGCACGAGAGTGAATTACGCTGGAGATGTAGTGATGGTGTGTGGGTCATACAGTTTACACATAGAGAGGTGAACTCACTCCTGAGCTCTTTCTGAGGTTGTACAAAACATATGTCCGACCACGCCTTGAAGTGCATAGTATCACTGCACCCCAACTAAACCTAAACAAGGGCGTTTGGACATTAAGTACATATGGGCTTCCCCGGGGGAATCCACCAGAGTATAAGGACTAAAGTGCATTCCCATTTCTATTCACTGCGAATATGCCGTCTCTGGAACTCTTCACCGGCAGATTTAGCTACGGATTTGAGCGGAGGCTGGACAGTCATGCAGCAATACAATGGCTGCGTACAAACGACCCATCCTACTTAAAATCTCATACATTATTCAAGAATGTACACATGAATTCATCGTTTTTCTTGTTCACATTCTCTCTTGTCTTACTCTTTAGACTACTTCGGCTATTACGTCCCTAACATTATTTTTATTGATGTGCATACACATGTGATATATATATATATATATATATATATATATATATATATAAAGATTTCAGACGTCACTAGCTGTCTGGTTTTACTTTTTCTTTCTTTCATTTTCCTTCTTGATTTTACTCCACGTAACCTGTGATAATAATATCCGTTATTATTAGTATTATCTCTCTTTTCAACATCACAAGATGAATAACTGGGGAAAGGACCATCTCAATTCACAGTAGAAACACGGCCTTAGCACACCGCATACCACAAATTCCATATAATTAATCCCAGTACCACTCTTTTTGGAATCAACCAAAACTACGACAGTCGGGCAGTGGGACGAACTACACAGAAGTTTACCGAAAACCAGGAACCTTCAAATCACGACCAAGAAGCGAACACAAAAAAGTGAGCTTGGCTTACACTAACTCGTAAAAAGACGAAATTGTATATTGAAAGTGCGGTAATTTCTGGAGGGTTGCTACCGTCCGACGTAAGTGAGGAAAGAGGCTACAGTCAGTTTCTAGGTCATGGTGAGTTCCTGCGTCGGCTAGTTATATGTTTTCGTGAGCAAGTTAGACAATACTGATCCGAGTAAAGGAGCCCACCGATGACCTTCAAACACTCAATCAGAGCATAGTAGGGATATCGGGAACTATAAAAAACACACCACACTAAAGGTCCTCGAGCAACAACCGATCAAATCGCTGATCTCTCGAAATGAATTTTAGATTCAGATGATAAGGATAGAAGGCTCTTGTGGCCTGTGTTAATCCTTGCAAAATATATCTCTGCAGTGATCTAACTTCTTTTTGAAAGCGTTCACCGATGGAGCTGATACTAGTGAATCAGGTAAGGAGTTCCAATCGTACGATTGGTCAACGTTGACCACTCTGTGAGAGAATCTAAATTCTGCACGTATTTTAATCGTCCTCGGTTTGAGCAACTTTTTGCAGTGACCCCGTAAATGTATCCTAGAAGGGGAGAAAAGGTTAGAAAGGTCAGTTCCTAAATCACCCTTAAGTATTCGGTATGCTAAAATTATGTCGCCTCTCTTCCTTTGGTATGATAACGGAAAGAGATTTAAATGCTCCATCCTCTTATAATAAGAAAGGTGTGAGATACCACTAACTAATTTTGTTCCTACTCTCTGTACTGTTTCCAGAATATGTGCCTCCTTTTTGAAGTATGGACTCGCCGCTTGTATGCAGTATTCTAGATGAGGCCTGACATATGTTGCGTAGAGTATTCGGAACATGCCTTCGTCTAATCGTTTGAAAGCCCTTCGAATTGCCTATAGCATTCAAAAAGCTTTAGCTGTGGCTGCACTGCAATTTGAAGTTGTTTTCAAATCATTGCTGACAGTGATTCCTAGGTCCTTCTGTTCGTTAACACTAGGTAGTTCTGCGTCCCCTAGGGAGTACGACGTATAAGACTTCTGACCTAAGTGCATTACCGCGCTTTTCCTAGCATTCATTTCCAAACTCCATAGTCTTGACCACTCAGCTAATTTGTCTAAATCAGTTTGTAGGGCCGACTTATCCTCGTTATTATTTACAGTTTTCCATATCTTAATGTCATCTGCGAATAATAATGAAGATGAAGTAAGAATCCCTGGTAATTCGTTAACGTTAATAGGAATAGCAAGGGGCCTAATACAGTTCCCTGGGGAACTCCACTGGATTCAAACTTATTGGTTGAAGAGAGAAGGCTTGGAGCCTATGGTAATCCTCTTCTAATTTGTGTGTGAAAACGTTTTTGGGGAAAAAATTCACCCTTGTTTAACATAGGTGCTGTTCCCTGACATATAAAAGCAGTTTCTATACTTTAATTATGGTGTGGTTGGTTTGCTGGAAAACAGCCATTAAGTAACAGGTGTTACCTAAGTTTGCTTGGTCGATCATAGTTCGACAAGACCATAATTTTGTTACATTGGAGAAATTTTCGCACCCAACTAATGGAGCTTATCTCTAACGATTCATAGTGAGGATTAGCAAGTATGACTTAGCCTTGAAAATTTCCTTAGGCAAATCTTACCTCTATTGTTGTATATCACTGTAAATAGACTGCGGTTGTTAATGCCATGTTAATGGTTTGAATGGTTGGTCCGACCTTCTGTGTGTTTTGCGTTCTGAGATGACTTATTTTTTCATGTCTGGGAAGTGCTTTTAGGTTGCATACATTGCCAAAGTAATATAAAAGTGTGATGACTTCATTCTCTTATGATGTAAACTTTCAAAAATTTCTGTGGTCTACGGTAGAAATGTTTATGATGTATTACCCTAGGGAAAAATTTGGGGCCAGATCAATTTAAAAATTTCGGGGAAATTTATTGAAATTCCCAGAAAATGATTATATCTAATTACTTTTGTTAAACCGACATATATATATGGAGAAACATGTACTACAATAGTAATTAGCCTGGTTACTACTGAGAGTAAAAGTTATGCATGCAGGTGGAATTTCCTTGACTCGCGTCTAAGGCCACTTAAGTGAACGGGAACTTGGTGTTCTCCACAAAAGTTGAAGAAAGTTCATTCTGCGCTAAATCTTTCAGCTTGTTTGCTTTGTTTCGTAATCCAGTAGCGAAATAAGCTCCAATCCCGACCGATAGCTGCTACCTTGACATGGTAGTCGGGCTTGCATATCCCAATGACCCAACAAGCTACACTAGAACCAATGTTCCTGCAGGTCCTACCATGCCAGTAAGGTTGTTAGGATAGAGATTAGACTAAAAGCAGTTACCGGTATTGTGTAAGAATTTTCTTACACTATGCTGGGAGTGTGTGGGCCAAGTCGTAGTGCCGGGGAACAAGGATGTAACAGCAGTGAGGTGTGATGGGGTTAGAAAAGGTCGACCCAAAAATTTTACATCTCAACTTACCCTACAGTGATCCGTAACGGGCGGTAAGTTTACTAATACGGAACCATTCCCAGGACCCAGTTCATACAGACAGTGTGTGACTGGCCAGCATGAAGCACTTGTTCCCTGGACTCTGCGGTCACGCAACAGTAACCCTGTTTCTGTTTCAGGTACTCGAAGATTTAATCAACTTCCAGGGTGTGGGCAGCCGGGAATTAACAGCTGCTCACACACTTCCAAAAGTACTAGAAGCCTTCTTGAGCATCATTCTTCATTCAGTCAGTCAAGTTCCAATCGCTCACACAGCTTGATCGCAGTGTCACTCATGTCTTTTTATGCTTTTGGCGATATCAAGCACACTCATGGCTTAAGTAGTATTTCCAAAACTATGTTTTTAAACAAGCTAGTGCATGGTTTCACGCTTACCTGCGAATTTATTAGGCTTAAATCTGTAGAAATATTGAACATTCTAAAGTTTTTACTGTTTTTCTTGTATCATCAAACTGAAAGCCCATTCTGTATTTTATGTAACTGGCATTCTTTACTCATCAAGAATTGGCCATTAAACGTTCCACAATTGTTAACAAAAGAATTTCAGTTATCCATAAACACTCACTGTAAAAACCAATGGCTGAGGACAATTAGTGATATGACTAAAAATCGTTCTCAATGGGGCAGATGTAATTCGCTCTTTGTGATTTATTATATCCAATAAAATTCTATTGTTCTTTCATATTACTATTCTTGTTGCTTCATATTTCTGTTTATTACCTTTCTTTTGAATATTTCTTTACTCCCTTCTTTTGCTTTGTTTGCTACATGGAGGGAGTGTGGCAACTCGAACTGCTACACATTTGTGCAAAGTTCTACGTTGAAACCAGTCAGTCAGTTATTTTACATTAGGTGACAAGCTTTTATACTGTGTCAGGCTCTATGCCATACGAATTTATGATCTAAGAAAAAACTAACAACAAATAAATATTGTAAGTTCAGTTACTTATAATGAATACGGTAGCTGAATTGAATAAAGTGTCAACTTCATGTCTAAGCATTGGGCAATGATATCACCTGCATTATCTTTCCGTGTTACTAGTCACAATTACAACTGACGCGTAAACTTAGTTCCTTCGCATTATGTGAGCAAGTAGGTATGTAACTGTAGTTGATTGGTTTCAGAGTACTCATGAACAAGATATGGTTCTTTTGGATCCTAAAAAATCAATAGTTGTCTGCACTTCAGCGCAGAATTCTACATTGACACTCAGTCTTCAATTCCCCTTTATTAAAACATAGTAAAAATTGATTCCAAGCTAGCTTACTTCTCTTATCTTTGGAATTGCATGTCGGATCCAGTGTTTGCAGGACAAACCGAACTCTAATTGCTCAAAGATTGAACGTGTCTAGAAAATAATGTAATCGGGGTTAGGTCCTCTTATGAATCTACTAGATACACACTACGGATATGATTCTTCTTATTCCGGACAGGTTGCCTTTCACGATGTAGTAAACGTAATGGTATCCTATGTGTACATATTTGTTCTTATCTGCTTTATTTTCTGCACTAGTGTATGTCAGCACCCTCACAGTATTCCTCAACACTTACTTTCTAAAGGATAGGGATTATATCATTCCAACAAAAGCCTTCTGCTGAAAATTCATGATAGCTTACTTAAATTTCGCTGTACAATATAAAGGGAATTATTAGTTACAGTGTAATGTTATGATTGCAAAAATTAGTGATGTCCACGATGCATATCCACTGTTAGAACTTCTGTTTTCATGTTTAGTTGGCACACATCTTTTCAGAAATTAGTCAGTTGTCCTCTTAACCTCCGGGAGACTTGGTTTGTTGGCTATAACACTTGTCTGTCTATCTGGTTTCAACATAGAAGTTTGCACCGTTGTGCAGCAGTTCGAGTTGCCACACTTCACTTAACACACAAAGTCGGAGAAAGTAAAATGAAATGCAAAATAAAGACAGTAAACAGAGATATGAGGCAAAAAGAATAGTAATATCGAAGAACAATATAGTTTTATTGGAAATTGTAAGTCACAAAGAGTGGATGCATCTGAGCCAGTCATTGAGAACGATTTTGAGCTATATCACCAAATGTCTCCAGCCTTCGTTGGTGTTTACCGCCCCGAGGACCCCAGCCAGTCAGGAAGTCTACACTTTCTTATATGGCTAGCTTAAACTAACTGTTGTGGATTTTATTGATTGATGAAGCCATGTTGTTTTGACCACCACTGGCTGTTTCCCACCATGATCCATCCTAAGTCAGCTAACATTCACTGTCGGTCAACGAAGGCGATGGCTAGGCTAAACATGCGTAACACATGTCCTAACCATCTCAATCGATGTAACTCCACAGCAGTCGATGCCCAACCTCGATAATGCTCACCTTATTATACCATTTCATAGGAGAGATAGAACGCAGGCACCTATGATCGAAGACAACTAGCCAGGTTTTTCATGTCTTACACTCTCAACGGCCAGGTCTCAAAGCCGTAAAGGATGACAGAGCAGACTGCTGAGCAGTACACACGCACTTTAGTCGACAGCCAGCCGGATATCTTGTCTACACCACAGACGGCGTAAACTGGCACTCGAGTTTCAGCCAGCTAGTCCCAGATTCGAATCTCACCCCACCTGCCTCAGCCTGAGCACCTGAGTGGGTAACGTCAAATCAGCAGACTAGTTATATGTCTAAAACACTCATATTAGTCAGGACGGAATCAGGTTTATAAAGTTAATGCATAATATATGTTCATGAAGCTTGTGCATATTACAGCAGGGTAATTGTAGACTTTTGAATGAATGAATTTGCAAACTAGTCGTTAGTTTTTCGTTGTTCTCTTTTCTAATTGTTTACTGTTGGTGCACGTATTGGAATCTCAGAAGGGATATGAAGATGATAGACACTCCTTGCTGGTTGGTGAATGCCAACAAGCACAAAACCTGAGTCGAAGGTTTCCTGTCGATTACCTCCAGCCATATTATAAAAACAATTTAAAGTGCACCGAGTATGGTGGCCACATTGTAAGTTTGACTGATAGAATTCAGTCTGCAGCTAACAAAGGACCAGATGCATGACAGGAGTTACTTACAACCTGGAATCCAATCAAAGTATTTCTAGTGATCTGTTAACTTCTTCCTAAGATACTGACTTGAATTGTAACTTATATGGTCGGTAGACACTTGTACCAGAATTTAAGGTGCTTCCAAATTTCTTAGATACCGTTCTTATCTCTCTATTGTTTCACTATTCATTATTTTGTTCTTTTCTATGACATTAGTAGCCCGACGAATTCCGTGTATGCATTTAGCGCTGTTTTTTAATATCGAATTTTCTGTATCTTATGAAATGAAAGTTTTTTTTATCAATGTATTTATTATTATTGTTTATTTTTAGAAAATGTCTGATTCACTGATGACGAATGATTTTACACGATCATTGATCTGTGGTTTATGCATGAAAAAGTCTGCATATGTTTGTCCTCGTTGTGGAATTAATTACTGTTCTTTAAATTGTTATCGTGATGAAAGGCACAAGAATTGTTCAGAATCATTTTATCAGGATTGTTGTATTCAATCGCTACGTTCTACTTTCGCCAGTCAATCAGAAAGATCAAGTATGACAGAGATATTAAAGCGTGAATCATCTGCTATGTCTGAGATTCCTCATCTGACAGACGTGGACACCAAAGGAAATAATGAACAGATCAGTGATGAAGATGATGAGAGTGACAATGGTGATGATGATGATATTCAAAAACGGTAAGAGTTTCTCAGTCCTTTTTACTGGTTTGTTTTATTCCTTTACGTTCCCAGTGGAACATAGTGCGCCTTCAAGCTAAAGGCTTGAAGTTTCGGTAGCAGTGGTGTTTTATTTTTACCTTCGCCGGCCGGGGATCGAACCCCAGATCACATGCGGCGTGGTCGGTGACCATTCTACCTCTGTGCCACCGACGCACTTTATTACTGCTAACATTATTCATTTCAATTAATGTGTTAAACGTAGTTAAGATAAATAGGAATATAAAAATGGAAAATTATAAGGCTAGGTTACGTTAGATTAGTTTACAGAATATCGGCCCGCTACTGATAGTTTCTACGTTGACGTGGTGGTTGGTCTTGCATATCTAAATGACCTAACGACCTACACTGACTGGAACTCCAGTGTTCCTGCAGGCCCTACCATTTTAGAAAGGTTGTTCAATAGCTGTTAGACTACAATCAGTTACCGTCATAGTGTAAGTCTTTTACACTACTGCTGGGAAATAGGTATTTAACAGCAGCAGTAAGGTGTTTCTTTCAGATGACCAGCAAGCCGGCTGTGCTGCCTGTCCGCTCTGAAAAGGGAGGAGTTAGAAAGGGTCAGCCCTGAAAATTATACATCCTGGCCTGCCTTTCTGCTCTCTGTAGCCAACGGTAAGTTTTTAATACGGATACAACTCCAAAAAACCAATTCAAACGGGCAGTTGTCCTATGGGCTGTGCGGTCACGCAACGCTAATGCTCTTTCTGTTTGGGCTATCCCGAGTAAGAAATCTCAGTTGTTCAGAATGTCAGCGAAGTGAAATCTTTCGCTGATAAATCAGAAGAAAGCTGAGACTTACTAGGTGACGAGACGTTTCATTCATCACCTCAACTCTGAAGTTTCCTCAATTTAAGATACTGAAATTAGTGACTACAAGACTTCACTAACAAGGCTAAAACATTCTGATAATGACACAGACGTATTTAATTTCGTTAGAAATTTCACACCATTTCAGTCTGCATAGAAAATAATTGGTTTAAAAAGTTTTTTTTTAAAAATATTCCCATCTAATGAGTTATAAAAATTGGCTTCTAAGGCTGTGTATTCGTTTGTATCTATTCTTCTGATAGTTTTAAAATCAAATGTATCCACCTGACCCCAGGTTGTAATCGTAATGATAGCAAATTTAGCCCACTTCTAACACCTGCTCAGGTGTTTGTCAACTACAGTAATAACGAGCCTACTTAGTGGTGGCACACCACATACTCTACTGACAACCTTTAATACCCTTCATAATGTGGCAAGGAACACCAATGTAGAGTACAGTATGTAAGATGCAAGAGATAACAAACTGTAAAAGTAAAGGTTGAGTGATTCTTGATTGTCATAACTTCTTAATGTAGAAGGATAGACGGAACATTTTCTTCAAAATCAACAAGATATATGGGATGACCAAGAAAGGTCAGAGGATAGAACTATTCCGAGGTGTTCAATGCTTGAATTACTTTCTTTTTCAATGCCCTCTATGCTACAAGCAACCTGTAAGCGAACAGGTGCGTGTAGATCATATTTATGCCTGAAGGTGGAGCTGACTGTCTGACATTTAGAGGGATTTTTAACGTAAGACCATTTAGATTAGACGACTGACTTCTATTCGACAAAAGCTGTTCATTTTGGAACAGTCAGATCGTGAAGTAATAGGCGACGGAGGAGGCAGATTGTCAGCTTATTTAACGAAGTTCATTTCTTCCGAATTAGGCTAGTTATTTAAGAAGAAAGAAAAAAGAAAAGCAGAGAGAACAGCACTTTGAGAAAGGACTCCAGCTTCAGTAAGCAAGACAGAGGAAGATTTGCCCTTATATACACAGTATACTGCATTCTATTCGAGAAATAATAATGCAACCGATTGAAAACCCAGCATTCGATTCTTGTCGGGGAAAGCTTATTATTTAACAAAACACCTCTGGGTTCAGAGTCAAAAAACAGATATATAGTCCCGGAAGATACACCAAGCGTATATGGCTCCTTTGTCTAAACAGGAAACAAATCTCCACTCTGTTCTATTTTCTCGTATCCTCTTCAGACGGATAGCCACACAATTACCCATAATCTCTTATTTCCTCCTCACACGATCTGCTTCATGTCACCCTCGCATTAACGACCCACTCGTCACTTCCTATTTGGACTCCGCTCGAGGGCCTGGCGCGCGATGTCACTAGGTGGTTTCCTCAATGTATACGCGATCCATCTCCATTTTCTCCTACACATATGTTGATCGATTGACTCTTGTTTGGCTTGTTCCCAATCAGAGCTTCTTGTCACTAATTCTTTTTGGCCGGCTGGCCATCTGATGATCTTCAGTATAGAGCCAGCGAAGGTGGCAGCTGTTGATAAAAGTCTACAACCTGTTGGAAATCATTTTCGTGACACGCTGGCCAAGTTTCTGACCCGTATAGAAGGACTGACTTGGTTGACATTGGTGTTGAAAATGCGAATCTTGTTCTTTATGTTGAGTGCATTACAGAAAATTTCCAAACTGGTTTCAGGTTGATGAAGGCGTATTATGCCTTTCCGATTCTGACTTTAACGTCTTCATCCGTTCCGACTGCCTCTGAATTGAATTGATGTCTCCTAGATAAGTGAAGGAAGTAACCTGTGTTAAATCTCTCTCGTTGATGGTGCTGGTTTTTGTTGCTGTTACTATTGGTTATCTTGATCACCTCCGTCTTCTTTATGTTCACCTGCAATCCTGTCTTTGTCGCCTCTTCAGCCAGTTTGTCGCTTTTTGCCTTTAATTCTTCTAGTTTGTGTGACGTATTTCAACCTAATACAGGACAAACATTTAAAGTAATAATCTGAAGCATATCCATCATATGACATAGCGTTGTTTCATATGAAGAGAGAATCAATTCTGTTTATCTTTTCCTCGTTTCCTTCAAGAATTGTACAGCGTTTAGTTAAAAGTTAATTACAAATGCACACCAGTTCATGTAGTGGTCATCTGATATAACTGCATGATTAAAATAATAAGAAATGCAGAAGAGTTTTAAGCAGCATTTTGATTTACGAAAATTCTAGCTGCCCCAGTGATTTAAGCAGACTATCAAGAGTTCAGTTAATGTAAAATTAAAGGAGAAATTTAAGATTGAGTGGTGCCTATTCGAATTGTAGTTATGTCTTAAGGTAAAAGATTAAACGGAACATTTTCTTAGAAGTCAACAGGATATTTCAGTGAAAATCACCTACCATATTCAAATATCAACTCATTATTATTATTGTGTTATTGTTCCCTTGGGTTCCTAGTGGAACATACGGCTTCAACTGCACGTCTCCACTTGCCACTTCTGTCTTCCTTCTGCTGTACTTTTCACCTGAATCCATGTTAGTCCATACTCTTCCAACTCCTCTTCACACAATCTTCTCCATGTCACCCTTGGACGTCCCACTCGCCGCTTCCCTTTCGAGTTCCACTCGAGTAATGGCCTGACGCTCGCGCAATGTCACCCAGCGGCCTCCTCAGCGAGTGTCCGATCCATCTCCACTTTCTCTTGCATATTTGTTGGGCGATTGGTTCTTGTTTTGTTTGTTTGTTCCCATAGTTTATTGTTGGTGATTCTTTCGGGTCCGGCCATCTGATCTTCAGTATAGAGTCAGCGAAGACAGTTAGTTGTTGATAAAGGTCTGCAATAGCCTGTTGGAAATATTCTTTGTGATCCGCCCGCCAAGTATCTGATCCGTATAGGAGAACTGACTGACTTGACGTTTGTATTGAAAATCCGACTGAATTTTGTTGTTGATTCTGGCTGAGTGACGAAGATTTCCAGATTGGTTGTTTCAGATTGATGAATATGTTTCTCGCCTTCCCGATTCTCGCTCGATTTGACATCCTCGTCCGTTCCTCCAAATATCGACTCATACTTTAAGAAAGGGACAATGTATCAATTTTCATGTGATTACAATTAATCCTGTGAACATTTTATATTATTTATGCAAAACTATTTTAATATTCCCACTAGGTTTAAGGATTTAAATTTAAACGATGATAATATTAGTGCTGAAGTGATTTGGTCTCGTTTAACATTGAAAGAGAAGCGTGATTTTAATCGATTTATTGAATCAAGTAATATAATTCATTTTATTCCAACGTGGACTCCATGGTGGCTAGAAAAGAAACCAGTTGTGACGGAGGTTAATCAACAGCAGAAGAATGATACAGTCAAGAAGTCAACATTAACTTCCAAAAAATCGTTAGATCAACTCTTACCCTCGGGAATATTGCCTCATCAATCAGTGGGATTTGTTTTGGCTGACGTGTTACTAGGCTATGCCTTCATTATGAGGTAAAATTACTAATTTAAAAAAAATCTGTTTTAATTCAATTTTGATTTTCTGGGTTGTTGGTTGATCTGAAATGTTTGGCCTCTGTTGATAGGTCGGCCTCTAGTCCGGATGGTCCGGCAATGTCTAAGGACTAGCATGAAGTGATTTTGTAAATTATGACTAGCAGTGGAATCCAAGATGTTCAGTTAATCTTATTTGTTGTAACCGGTCAGCTGGAGGATGTACCTGCATTCCCCGGTGAGACTCGAACCCAGTACCCATCGTCTCAAACACCAGGTTTCTATCCACTAGATAATGGATACTGGAGATCATTGAGAACGATTTTGAGCTATATCACCAGTAATCTCCAACCATTGATTCTTAGAATCCCGAGGACCCTAACCAGACCCCTCACATGCCACAAACTAACTGCCAGGGGTTTCATAGACTGACTCCAAGTTTTAGTTTGTCTGCCACTGGCACTTTCCCAAAGGAATGCTATGCAAGGCAACATTCCCCGTCGAAGAATGCGATGGCTCGGTGTTTGCGTAACACGTCTCTTAACCACCTCAATCGATGTTGTTTCACAACTTCGTCGACTGACTTCCTCTCTCTACACAGCACTCGACACCTAACCTCAATAATACTCACCCTGTTATACCATCTAACACAGGAGACAGAACACAGACACCTATGATCAAAGACAACTAGCTTTTCGATGTCTTCCACTTTCAATCGGCATGTCTCACAGTCATAAAGGAGGGTGGAGCGAGCTGTCAGTTGGCAAGAGACTCTGAACTCTGATAAATAGTGCGCTTCTTGAAGTGCCTGGTTAGGAAGTCGTTATTGTCCAAGTGGAGTGATCACAAGGTGTAAACGAAAGTTGCTAAACTTCGACACCATACAATCTTGTTCACTGTTTTTGACTTCCTACACACAACTGATACTAGAGTTTTGTGTGTGTGTGAGGTAGACAATGTGAAATAACTTCATCGCAGACTTTTACATTCTCTTCCTGGTTTAAAAGAAAGTTGTATTACCAGGTAGGGATTGTGAAATTAAGTAACACAGCCAAGTTAATACAACAAACAACTCCGCCTCCTTCAATGAGGCAGCAGCTAATGTTGCAAAATGGAAGCTAAATCTCGTTAATTTTAAATAGGTGACATTAATTTCTATGTAGATTAACATTCAAATTTATTTATATGACAGTAATTGTTATTTTTAAACTGTCAGTAGGCTGTAGGGATTCGATTTGTTTCAAATTTGACCTCAGATTGATATCAGTTAAAGAACCATTGAAAACTAGGGATTGAGTACTGCACAGCCGTTTCGTCCTAGTGCTTAGGAATCATCAGCAATACTCATCCCATTGGGATTCGAACCCAGGATCTTTCAGTTACAAGGGGAGTTCGTAAACCATTCAACCACTTAGATCTGATTCACTGGCCGGTCGAGAAAGGGGATAAATCCTCACCGATGATATTGGATGCTAGTTACGCTAATCACGAATCGGTGGAATTTAGAAGTCATGGCCTAGCCATTCAGTTGGGTTCCAGTAACTGAATGGTCTACGAGTTAGCCTTGTAGCCACAAGGTCCTGGGATCATATCCCAGTTGTTGGGTGTGTGTACTGTTGATGAGTCCCGAACCAGGACGAAAAAAGCTGTCCAGTATTCCACTCCTGGTTTTTAATGGTTCTTTAACTGATATGTATTCGCGGTTAAAACTGAATAACTGTTATCTTGTATTTACTGATAAAAGTATTCTTATTATTCCACACTTTTATACTTCCCTTTTTGAATAATAATTCAGATTTTACAATGGTGATTGCGGGCAACTGATTGACGATACAGTCAATCTTCTGTGTAATATAATCAAATCATTTACTCCTATTTCACAATCAAAACGTCAAACACCTTCAGATCATCCATTGAAGAAGGATTGTAATGATGATAGTGTAGAAGGAGAAGAGCAACGAAAGAAAACTAGAATAATTAAACCACAGACAAATTCTTCATATAATATTATAGCATACAATTGTATCAACGATGTACTTAGTACAATCCAGTATAAACTTATGGAGGCGAATTTACCTTGTCATCCTTCAATTATGATACTTCTACTTGAAGATATTAGTCATATACTTGGCAATATTGCTTATTGTACACGTGCTTTACAAGAATTACACACATTGGTGTTAAAGTTTAGAAAAATGTTACGTGAAAGCTCAGATGATGATTCAACAGCAGAAAGTATCCTAAGCAAAGTGAATACTGCTCATCGTAAATTAGTCTTTTTACAGGCTTGTCTTGATGATAAGAATCAGATGGCTAGACGTTGGCAGACACTTGTTCTCCCGCGACTTTGGAGTGAAATATCCACGGAGCTAATACAACGAATACATGATATGAAAGATTTCAATGATGCTGGTAGACGACAGGATAGTAAATCAGCCGGTCCGAATTGGCGTAATATGATCCGAAATAGCAATAGCTGTGATAATAATAATACTGATCGTGTACTGATTGAGCCGGTTAATACTGACAGTTGATTGTGTGTTTGATTTTTTACAACTTTTGTATAAAATTTGTACATAATTTCAAAGATTATTTATCAAATAAATGTATTACTTCAAGAAACCGAATGGTATTTGTGATTTTTTAAATAAGTCTTACTTGTGTTGGAATGCCCGACCGATGGCTGCTACCTTGACGTGTTGGTCGGGCCGCAGTAAGGTGTTTCCCTCAGATGACCAACATGCCAGCCAGCTATGCTGTCCCTCCACTCTGGAGAGAGGGGGTTAGAAAAGATCGACCTCAGCAATTGTACATTCCGACTTACCCTACGGTGGTACGTAGCCGGCGGTAAGTTTACTAATACGGAACCAATCCCAAGACTCAGTTCATACAGGCCGTGTGTGTCCGACCAGCATCAAGCAGTGACCCCCTGGGCTTGGGATCATGCAACACTAACCCTCTTTCTGTTTTAGGTACTCGAAGATTCAATCAACTTCCACGGTGTGGGCGGCCGGGAAGTAACAACCGCCCACATACTTCCCCACGAAGCCTTCCTGTGTTGGATTGCTGTGACTTATCGGTTTCAACAGCAGTAGATCGAGTTGCCACATTCCTTTCTTGTAGCAAGAGAAGAGAGGTAAGAGAGATAATAAACAAAAGTGTGAGTGAGGGAAAAAGGGTAGTAGTAATATGGAAGTTAGGTTGCCGTAGTAGCTTTTAAGCTGTTTTATATGTGAATAAGAAAGCTGCAACGAACTTGTATTCTTAGCTAGACATACTGTGGTGAGAGCTGGCTGCTAGCCAAAGTCGGTAGACAGTAATTTACGTCCCCAATATTGGGCATGACAAAATAGAAGAACAAAGACTGAATCAACAAGCAATCACAGCAAACTTTGCGTAAGCGGATACAATTTACAGATAGATAATCTGAACTTCAAAAAAACGGCCACAAAGAGATGAAAGATTAACGTTTAACGAGAAACCACCAATCAGAATACTGTGTTTGTTTGCTTACAATAATCTATAATAATGTACATGAAAATCTATAAATTTCTGTTGATTTCCTAAATGAACGTTCTGTTGCCTGGCCCTTGGCTTCTGTTGTTACAATACTTTTGATTCAGAGAGTTAAACATGGCACAATGAAGCGGCCAATCTGTTTGTTTGCTCCTTCTGCATGCAAACAAAATCTGATTAGTATCCTGATGTTGTTTCGTAGCTAGAAAAATCTGCACAACCGACACTCTGGACAATGAAAATAAGGAAAATCGAAAATTTAAGTATGAGAATGGATATCGAGAAAAATTTGTTAAGGTCTCCATGGTGAGAACAGATAGAGAGAGTAACTCCAAAAAAAATAACAGCTTCAACATTTTCTCCCGCAACACTATGTTTAAAATTCACCACTCGTTGTATAATTCCTATGCAGGTGAAAGATAAGCTAACGAGTCTAGCCACCTCAATGTTCATTTATAAATTTAATTGTTCTTGTAGAGACAGCTACATAGGTAGAACGATTAGGAAAGCTCACCATCGCTTTCTTAAGCATTGCCCAAACGTGATTAGGCGAAGGAGCCGTAAAGTCAATCATGAGTTCAATATTGGCACAGCTTGTGGTACATAGCATAAGACTAACAAAAATTCCAACTTTACAATTCTATACAAGGTGTCACCTCAATTCCCTGAGTTTGTAAGCCTTTGACTATTAAGCAAGGCTGAGGTAGATGCCATAAAAAGACCTTCAGCCTAATCCTATGTGTTCAGAGAAAGCCTGTCCAAACTAGTCCTCTTGCATTCTAAGTGTCTAAATTAGGATTTTTTTCTTCCTTATTAGATGTATCACATAATGAAACGTTATTATTTACTGGATGACAGTTTATTATTGTTCATAATCACACGACTTCGAAACTTGAGTTGTTCTGTCCTATTCGTCATTGTAGGGGTAGTAGAATTTTCCAAATATCTGGGTGGACAGGTGTTGAATCATTCCCATTACACGTGTTTGCAGTTGACTCGATAAACAAAGCCTCAGTCAGTTATCAATCTCTCTCATTAGCCTGTTGTTATATTAGATTTTAAAACTGTCATCTTTTCCCATCCATCCTATTGTATGTGTAACTGCACGTAATGAGTGCCATAGCTGAACTATGCTCCGGATTTCTTGTCTTATTCGGGTCAACTAATCAAGATTTTTATGCTCCGCTAGTCTGACTGATCAACCCCGTTCTACCTACTTCCACCTATGCATTTGACCTGAAAATCATTGCAGGTTGGGTATTAGATAAACTAAATTGCTTTGTGTAATTGGCTGTTCCACAGGATCGTTTAACCGATAAAGCTTGTATCTAATTGAGTGTGTGGATGGTTTGAAAGCCTGCCACTTTTATTCCTGCCTCGTTTGTTAAGAATTCTGTGTAAGGTGGTTTCCGAGGTTTCTTCCTTGTACGGAATTACTACTGACGATTTAGATTCCTTATTGTTGGTGTCGTGATCATACTGTGTATGTTTGATATGCATGTCATCATTAATATTATTATCACTATCACTTATTTTATTTTTTGCATTTCCCTACATATTTCCTGACTAATTTATCCGGGCAATTATTAAGTTTCAAAGCTTCTCTTATATGTATCACTTCCTGTCTTAGATTTTCCTTGTTACTACTTAGTTTTTGTGCTCTATTACTTAAACATTTCACCAATCCTATTTTCGCTGACATAGGATGGGATGATCGGAAGTCCAAATATCTGTTTGAATGTGTGGGTTTTCTGTAAACACTAGTGTGTGTTTAACTTCCCATCTTCTTTCCTTTATACACTGCAATCTAACATTTGAAGCTCCCCCGCTTCCTGACTTTCCAATTCATAAGTGAATTGATAGGTTGCCTCCACCTTTGAGTTAATGTGTTGGAAAAATCTATCTATATCCTGTGTTCTAGGTGTACAGTGAATGTGTCATCTACATACCTCCACCATACTTATGGAGTGGGATTGAACGTTTCAATCGCTAGCAGGTCGTCTTTATTCTATTGTATTCACGTAGAACTAAACGACTTATTAGTTGATGTTCAGTAAAAGAAGATCAATCAGTCTTTAAGGTATTATTGATTCTTTGCCAATAAAAAATGAACTGGGTGATTACTCTTGCACTTACTAAATTCTTTAAAGCGTTGGAATTTGGCGTATATTTTTCAAATCCACAGAAATTATAGTTGTTTATTTCACGGGTAGAATTACAAGTAGCTACACTTTGAGTAAGTCTCACAGCCAAGCAAACACATATAGACAATTCGGAAATCGATTTTTGTCCCTGAGTAACTTTATACATTGCTTATTTTACATTGCTCTTATTTTCAATTACAAAGGAAGGTTAGTCATAGTTTGGCGCTACGCTGAATTTTTTTCTTTTAAAAAACCCACCTCTTATTGTTGAAACTGCACCTAATATTATACAAAAAGTATCACTGAGATTTATTGATTCTTTTGATTATGTAATAAGATAAATACATCGAGTCAAAAAATAGAATAGTAAAAAAAAATAGCAAGAACAAATGCATAAACTGAGGATGAGAAAGAAAGTAAAGGACACAAATATGAACAACGCTAGTGATATTTCCAATGGAACTTGTCGTTCTGTAATCCTAGTTTGTCTTATAATAATAATTACTAATCGAATGGTCTTTAAAATAATATGAACCGTATTCTTCATACATTTTTCTCGTGATATAATTTTCATCGACCAGAGGAGAATTGGCGAAACGACGTGCTCCATACCATGCATCCAATTGTGGATTAGCTAGTAATACATAAAATAAGAAGAAGAGGAAGTTATTCTCAGGACATACAATCTATGCAGTAAACATTAAAAGTAGAATATGGGAAGACTCAAATCCCAAACAATTCAAAGTGGACAAGAAGCCTATCTTCATTCGATTAGATTTTAAAGGTGATAATATTGCAGGAATAGTTAAAAGAAGACCTCACCAGCCAGAGCCTATCCTCCAGCTAGACTGGCTCCCGTTTATCGAACAACATACTCGTTAGTGTAATCAATTTTGATAAATACCCTTCCTATGTTAACTCTAAGTGTGTGTGTGTTTAGAGGAAATTTGTACAACTACTTTCCTTACTTTGACCATCGTTACATGAATGTATAAACCGGACTACTTCGCCCCCCTTCCCCCTAAACCTTTAAAAATTATAACTGTCCAAATTATTTTATTATTTTTTCTGACCACTTCAGCCTTAGTTACAAGTTATCACTGTCCAAATCGTTTTATTTTTTTTAACAATCTGTTGCGTGACCAACTTCAGCACATGCTTATTCCTTAAATACTCTTCATGCTTTCCAAAATTATGCATTACGCAATCCATGTGTTTCAACCCTTCCTATTAATTTTATTCGTTAATTATACCCCATTGACGTGTTGATACTGACCAATTATTGTTAACACACATATCACCACTTGATTGATAAATTGTTGTTGGGCCATAAAGTGAAAACCACAAAATCTTTTAAAAATAATTAGTCGACAAAATAGTTCAGTTCTCCTCATGTTTGCGGAAGCAATCGCTGTCAGACGCCTGTAATCCGATTTATGTGTTTCGACAGAATCAGTTATCAGTCTTCGATTACCATGTTGATTGATTGCGTTATCATACGCTTTAACCTCTCCCCCTTCGGTATAGAGTAACACTCTGCTAGTCTGTTGTTTCCATGATTTGATTTGAAGTCACCAAATTGTTATTTATTATTTATCAGTGACTCACCAGGTCGGGTGTGAAGACAAATATTGACCAACGGTGATATTGGCTAGCGGTCGCGCTATGTCGTTAATTGACCGAAGTTGGAGTTCAAAGGGCCGATGGATCGGGTCCTAGTGGGTTAATGACCTACGAGCTTGCCTTGTAAGCAGGTTCAAACCCCTGTGATAAGTGCGTACTGACGAAAAGTGCCAAACTAGGACGAAACAGCTGTCCAGTACTACCAGCTGGCTTTCCAATGGTTCTCTAACCGATGTCAGCTCATGATGAAA